CCTTTTGGGGTAGAGTGTTTGGGAAACATGTCTGGGGGAAGATGGAGCGTGAGAACCATAGACCAGCTACTGTCCTGCATTGCAGGATAGGCAGGAGATGGTCCAGGTGACTTAACAGGAGCAATAAGGTCAAAGACCAAAAATACGTGTAAAGAACACCTGTCACCTGGTGGTGACTTTTTAGCCAGCCTTGAGGTGATACCAATACCCAGCCTCCCCAGGGCCACCAGCCTGATCCCTGCACCCTGGTACCCAGTGTCTGGGGGGCATCAACACCTTTTGGAGGGAAACAGGGATGACTGGGAAGTCGGAGTGAATTTTAGGGGCAGTTAGAAAGCAAGGAGAGAGGAAGATTCATCTGCATCTTTTCCAATGGCATTAATCATCCCATTTCACCCCCTCCTGTGCCACAAAAAAATACTGTGCCAAGTACTAAATGTATGCACAGCACTTTAGGAGCCTAGAGCTGCATGCGCCTTGCTTGGTGTCAGGACAGCTGCAGGCACAGGGTCTGCCTGGAGGAGTTACAGTACTCAAAACCTCTCCAAAGCAGGGTTTGGTGATATTCTGTGTCCCTGAGGACACAAGGCTGCCGTGGTTTCAGTGCTTGGGGGTGTGCATCCTCTTAGCTGAGGGTATCCAGCACCTCCAGGTGCAGTGGCAGGGGAAGGTGGGCTTCCATGGGGGATGAGCACTGGCAGGGAGGAGGTTTTGAGTCAGAGAGATGGAGGAGGGCAAGGCTTGGCAGATAGACCAGTTTGGCATTGCAAAGCGGGATCTCTCGGGAGTATGTGCATGGTTGTGAGTGCATCTGCTGGCCCTGGCAGTGCTGCTTCTGGCCATCTGAGGAGCAGGACAGGGCCTCTCTGTAGGCTTGTGGTGGGCAAGTTCTTCAGGTGTCTGGGGCTTGCTGTTAAGGTGGCCCAGGGTGCTCGGCATGTACTGGGAGCCTGTGGGGTTTAGGGCACGCTGCTGTTTGAAGCTAGTGCTTTCAGTGCTGTTGGTGCTGTCGGAGCACTGCATTAATTACACTCATGTGGCTGCAAGAAACTTGAGGTTGGGGCATCTCAGAGGAGCTCATGTCAGTGTGCAAAACTTTGCTGGTTTGATGTGGGTTGTGGCGGGGGAGAGGTTGAGGTACGTGCTTTAGTTGAAATGAATGGATACCCCTGTGCATTCCTGATGTTTTAAGCTTTGGACTCCTGCAAAGCTCCCCTGGAGCTACCCAACAGTACAAAAAGGGCTGAAGACATGTTAAGGCTGCAGCTTGTACACTCTTCTGTCCCTGGACTGCCTCCAAATCAAGGCTGAATGAGCATTTACCAAACTACTCTTACAAGCACTAGAGGCAGGAGGTCCCCTGCCTCCTGGGTGCTGCCCTTTGGCATTAAGTGAGCTTCACAAAAGATGAAATGAAGCCACACATCTGTCTGAGCCAAGTAACCAGCACACCTCGTGGGAGTGGACACATGGAGGGATGCCGATGAAATGCAGCAGTGGGGTGCCCAGGTCCAAGGTGTACAGGTCTTAGTACCCATAGGATCAATGAGATGCTGTGGATGATGAGGGTGGGATTCATCCCTCGGGACCGCTGCCACTGCTGCCATACCCCGTGCCAGCCTATCCACCAGCACCACCCTCCGTGGGATTCATCATTTATTTATTGTGCCAAAGATACCGCTTTGTTTACTCTTCAAGGAGCATCTCCCTGGCGGCATGGGATGAGAGGGCTGGGGCCCATGCAAGCTGTGCCATAGCCCTCTCCTGCTGCTGGGACAGCCCTGGGCTGGTTTGGGGCAGGACTGAACTTGCTTTGCCTTTCGCTGCCCAAAGCAAGGCTTTTCTCAAGCATTCAGCCCCCTTCCCCATAGTCTTCGAGGCATTGAATAAAAACAAAACCTTCCCCTCTCAAAAAAGGGTTGTAATGTCTCCAGGGTGCAGTATATGTGTGTGCATGCATGCATGCATACTAACTCCTTCCTCCCAAGTTCTCAGCTGCACCCTCCCTTCAGTGCTGTCCTGGGCATTAGTGCTTGATTGCGTTAGGAGTATTTGCGGTGGTTCCTTGCTATACCTCGGAGGAGAGCTGTGGCTCAGGGCTGGCCCAGCCCCTTGCACTCTGCTCCCAGGGCCCCTGGGGGGGCCTTTGGGGCAAGGGGGCTGCGTTGCAGGTGCTAACCCCCGCCTCTAGCTGAGAGAGGTGGGTGAGATTTAAAACAGGGTGCGATAAACACCCCTCTGCCACACGTGAGTGCTCTGGGGGGTGATGTTACAGGGCTGGGACTCAGCACTGGGTGCTTATTCCAGGAGAGTGCAAGAAGCACCTAGGGCGGGCTGTGGCATGGCGGCCCAGCACTGCGAGGCCCAGCTTCCAGCAGGGATTTGGTGCTGTCTCTGGGAGGAGAGGGTGCGTCTGGTCCCCTGCATCCTCCTGGGCTTGCTGGATGCTCCAAGTCATTCCTGTGATGTAACCTTGTCCAGTGTTACAATGATGTGTAAAGTTTTGTACATACGAGATTCAGAGCTTTTTAACTTTTAATATTTATTAATTTTGTTGGGTTCTTTTATTTTTTTTTTTTTTTTTTTTGAACTCTAACATAATGTAAAAAAATTAAATAAATAAATCCACATCAAAATCTCTTTCTGTTGGTTTATTTGGGGGATGGGCATGTGAGAGACATGGAACTGTTGAAATGGTTTTCACACAAGCCACAACCTCTTTATTTTATTTCAACCCAGCCACTGCTCCTCATCAGCCAGAGTTTCACATAGCTATTTTGAGACGATTTCCCCCCGTCTTAACTAAGACAAAGACCCAGCAAAACACACATATGTGTAGATAATAAGCACCCTGCAATGGCTTTAATAACATTCTCTGACACCCAGCTGCTCCATGTCACTCTTGCAAGGCCTGTTTCTAGCTGTGATTGGTAGTGGCTTCATGGCATGATATGCTTGTTTCCAGGGTGCAGAATAATGTTGGGACCACTGGACCAGCTGTCCCTGCTGCTGCAAAGGGCTGTGGATGTGGGATGACTGGTTATCTCCTGGGGATCCTCCTAGGACAAAACTCACCAGGGGATTTATCATGCTGCAGGTCTGCAGTGACAAGCTCCCTTGGATTCATGGTCCTGGAGGGCATGATGCTTCATTACAGGGTCATGGGGCTGAGTCTGACCCTGCTGCTGCCTTTTCCATTAGCTGCTTTCTCACTTGCCATTCCACCCCCTCTCATGTTGCAGTACACTAAGTCAATTGGACCGATGGTGAAAAGTACATTTCTGAACCCCTGGCACATGGCTTTAGTGTCATACGCCTGCTTTATCTCTGCCTGCTACTGTTGGCATCACAGGGGAAAAACCTCTATATATGTACATACATACACACATAATTAAGTAGCTTAGACGCTGCAAAAATTATTAATAAAGATGTGTTACTGGTTCAGGCCAAAAAGAGCCCCTGAGCTTGCACTGACAACTTATGCTATGGTCAGGTAACAAATAAAGAACAATTACATCAGGGCAGGGCTGAAGCTGCTGAACAAACTGCACCGAGGGCAGGGTGCATTTTAGTAGCATCCCCCTTCTGTGTATGGCGAAGGAGTGATGCCGAACATCAGCTACTGTAGCTGCTCACGGGCAAGGTTTGGGCAAGGGTTTTTAGGTAAGCCCTAATGCAAGGCTCAGTGTTGCCTTGGTTGCCCCAGTTTGCAGATGGTCTGTTCCATCCCTGAAGCAGAAGCATGATGCTGGGTGAAGGTTGTCCTCTACGCTTGGGGTTGCTTGGTGGGTGCACTGTCTCACCCCATTGCTGGCAGCTGTGGTTCCTTGACTGCAGCAGCAATGAGCAGGACAAGAATGGGTCTCTGGCTCAGGCTGTGTTCCTTGTGGTTGGGCAGACTGCATCCTCCTGCAGCTCAGGGGCAGGCAGCGGTAGAGAGGTGCCGGCCAAGGTGCTTGATGAAGTCTGCTTGGGACTGCGGCAGCACACAGTTAATGACAGACTTGGGGATCCAGCCCTTTGGGAGAGAAAACACCCTGAATTTGGTCCTGTTGGGTCAAAGAGTTGGAGCACTCATCCCAGGGAGGAGAATGCATTTGCACACTGGGATGTGTACCCCTTGCTGTCACATCCCGAGTAATATGGTAGCACTTGCCTTCAGGTCCATGCTCAGGAGCCAGGTGAAACGGGTATGGCTGGGGTCTCCTGCCAGCGGCTGCAGGACTATGCAGCTCAGCTGGGACTCTGCCCTGCGGTGGGCAAGGGAGCAGGCAGTTAGGATGAGCCCCAGGGGGAACAAAACAGAGGGTAAGGAGATCCCAGAGCAAATGCAACAGGGAGGTAGCTCTTGGCATGCCTCCTTTGCTGTGGCTGGTGCAAACATTTATGGCTGCAGCAGTGGTCTCCTCCCTGCAGGGACATGATACCCTGTGATGGTTGTTTTTTGGGAGGCTTTACCTGATGCACCCTTCCTGTAAGGGCAGCTTCTCGATGTGGGTGGCAGTGCCCACCAGGTAGATGGCCGTCTCCTTCCTCCTGCGGTGCCGCACGCTGATGAAGTCCCGCTGGCCCACCAGGTTGCCTGGGCTGGGAGCAGTGACTTCGTGTGTCACCATTGTGTCTGTCCCAATGCGCTGCAGCACCTACCAGAGCAAGGAGCACCCCAGGGATTAGGCTCCTTGTGGCTGCTCCTCCAGGGACATCCTCGGCAGCCCCTTACCCCTGCCCAGGGGATGTTAAACCACCCCTGTGACAGCAACATGGGGTGGCAGCATGAGTAGAAGCAGCAGCAAGGTAGGGACTTAGGGCTGGCATTTGGTGATAATTAAGTCCCAGTCCCCTGTGGGCTATTTAGAGGGAAAGTGGGTCATTTTTTTTTTGCACCTGTTTTTGTCTGTGATGGGACTCTAAGCTATTTGTTTTTCTGAAGGGAGAGGGAAGTAGTAGTAATAAATAACCAGAGGCTGGGTAGCATCTGAGCCAGCCCAGGTGAGCTAGGGGAGGCTTTATGAGGCTAGCAGCTTGCTTAGTGTTATGTTGTGATTTCGAAGCTGAGTAATAAGGCAAATTCTCAAAAGATGTATAAGACAACGTATAAGCTTCCTGGTGGCACCCCTGCAGTGTGATATATTTGGTTTTGCCTCGTTTTTCTAGCTCATTCCCCTGAACAGCTTCTTCCCTCATGTTAAAGTCTGAACAACGTCAGAGTCCCCCAGTGTGGAAAAAGCTCTGTGACCAGCCACTGTGTGGAAAAAAAGAGCTTGAAAACAACATGCGTCTCAGTGCCATACCAGTAAGGCACGTCTTCTCTCCCTGGGGTGATATCCTGCTCTTGCAGGATGCAGGATTATCTTTAATCCTTAAGCAATCTTAAAACCCTCAATAAATATGATTTTTTGGATGCTAGCAACCCTGGCAATGCAAAGTCTCTGATGTCTGCCCATGATGGCATCACTCTGCCTTTGGTGCATCCGTCCCCGTCTTACCTTCACCTGGCTGAGGGTTGGGTTCCACTGGGGCATTTGCTCGATCCTCTCAAACAGCTCCTGGTGCAGCCACGCCACTGGCACGGGCAGGACCACCTCAGCCCGAAACACCTTGCCCAGCCTGGGGAGGGCAGTGCTTGACATGGTGGCCCCGTTGTCCTGGGAAAGCAGAGAGCCTGCATCAACCCCAATGTCCTGAGAGGCTATGTGCTGAAATGCCCCGCCAATAAATCACCCCAGTCCTGTTTTTAATCACTGCTTGGTTTACAGGCGAAAGCTGTTATATCTTAATTACACCACTATGATTGCCCTTTTTTTTTTTTTTTAGCTCCTTTCTAGCTAAATTAAACAATTCAGCAAACACCTTACTGAACAAACATGGTAAATAATAAAGTTACAATCTGCTGGGCTTTTCTGCAGAAATGCTCCTGGCTTTCCCTGGGAACACGAATAGCTGAGTTTCCCCTTCCAAGCTTTTTCTTGCTATTTACTTTGCAGATTTGCTTGTGAACGTTTTTGACAAAGGCTTGCTTGGAATCCCTCTTTGTCATACATGCTTTTGCACGGCATGTCTCCTTCACCCACAGTTTCCCTTCAAGCAGGAGGACTAAGAGAAGCAAATCTCCCCTCCCCAGACTCATTTTTCCTCCCAAGAGCTTTTCTGGCATGAAGCAGCAAAGGCAAGTGGTGGTGGGGCTTTACCAGCATCATTTCTGCCTGCCAGCTGGTGTGCTGCTGCAGGATGCTCAGTGCTTGCTGCAGGGCTGCTTCTCCCTGGGTGACGTAGGAGAGGTCCGCACCAGGCAACTGGCTGGGGTTGGTGTCTCTGGCATGCTCAGGGCAGGCAGCTGCAGGAACAAGGCAGAGCAATGTGAAAAGCTCCCCTGCCCCCAGCTTTCCCTGCGCATATGCCTGTGGGTTCAGAAGTGCAAATGGAGCCAGAGGAGAGGGTTTTGCTGACCCAAAGTCTCAGCTCTTACCATGCAACTGGTCCCCTATTGGGCTGGAGTATGGCTCGGTGCAGAAAACCTTGCTCTCAGGAGTATCCTGGGCAGTGATTTGCTGTGTTTGTGCTGACTACTTGGAAAGCTTTTTGAAACTGCTTTCCAAATCAATTCCCAGTAACACTGTGGTACAAATTGCACTTTGCTGGGGTATTAACATTGCATAGGCAGCCTTTGGACCAAGCTACACTTCAAAAAAATCCAGATGCATTTGCCAATTTTGAAGTCTTTAGGTAAGTGGTGGAACTGGAGACACAGCAGACTTGCAACGAAACACTGAGAAGTGCCTGCAACCTCTGCTAAAATCTTTGGCTGCCTGTACAGGGAACCAATGCAATTTACCTTCCCAGAATCTCAGGGTTTCCCCACTAACCCAGTTTGTCATCAGTACAGGGAATGTTTTTAAGCTACCAGAGAACTGGATATTAGCCCAGCAGTGAGAAGACAGTTAACTCCGTCCCACAAATTATGGTTCAATTCATATGGAGAGGGTGCATTTTAATACACATCCTTCCATCATGTGTTGCAAAGATGTTGTGAGCAGGGCTAGGAAATTAACCCAAGCACCCGGGCTGAGCTTACCTGTCTCCTTCCCCATCAGCCTCTGAATATAAGGAGAAATTTTGGAAGACAGGTGATGGGACCCTTTTACCACCAGCCCATTCCTGTCCTTCTGTATTGCTGCAACGACTGTTGTCTTCAAGCCTAGAGGAGAGATGCACAGGCTTTGGTGAGCATGGAGCACACGAGGAAGATGCTGTGGTGCCCCATGTCTCTGCTGGAAGCTCATTTGCAGCTAAGACCAAGACTACCCTGTGCATGATAAAACATGGAAGTAAAATAGATGCACAGATGTGACCATATCCAAGGAAGCCTGTTTAAGGGGATGCCCATCAGATTCAGACCTAGTATCTCCTTTAGGAATCTCTTTTCTGCCTGTCTTTCCTGATGTTGGAGGAAAGCCAAGGAATGCTTACCGGGCAGGCGGCGGAGGTGGTCATGGGCGATGCCACAGCACAGCTTGATGGTGGCCTGCAGCATGATGCAGAAGCAGGGCTGCCTCTGGGAGAACACTGTATCCCAGTGCATCTTTATAGCCAGCCTGAAGGACGGCATCTGATGATAGGACCATGCTTCCAGATAACAGCTGGGAATACAGAGTACTCAAGGACAAGGCAAGCGAGAGGAGGAGCCACAGGGAAAGGGAACTGCCTCTTGAAAGAGCAGTCCCTGCTTTCTTTCTTGCACTTTGCAGGCAGCTATGGATGAATGCATCCCCAAGGCACAGTTGAGATGGGACACTTTAGTGGTCCCCAGTGTCATTTTATCAAAGGCTGTGGTGGCAAACCCAAACTGGCAAAGGCAACTGGTGACACTTACATGGAGGGAAGGATGGGGTGGGATATGAGAGCAATGTGGCTTTGCTGTTGGAGAAGGTGGAAGCTTCTGTTAGAGCCATGCTCGTGGAAAATGATGCTTCTTCCTATGGAAACTTCATAGAAGTTATGGTGGTAATGACTGCTAATCTAACTCCTCAAGTAACACCTCATTTTTCCCTTTTCTACTTTACTTGCTCTTATTTGTCCCCTGCAGGGTTCTGTTGCTCATGATGGTGGTGAGACCACAACATCCTTACATTTTTAACAGCCCCTCTTCAAAGGTTAAACACAAAATCTACTAAGTCACTCCTTAAAATACAGCCCCACTGTATTTCTCTGGCCCTTTGCAATACTGTTTTGAAAACACTGCTTGATTTTTGCAATGGAAAGGCTCTTGCACTCATATGTAGCCAAGGGGCCTGGTGATTCTTTTTCACATAGCGTCAGTACAGCTCACTTTATCTTCAATTTCTGAGGCTGTAAGAGCTAAAATATGTGGGCAGGGAGGCCAGGAGGGCTCTTTGGCTTTAAAAGAGACAGGAGAAACTACAAGGCTTGCAGACTGGTGTGGCTGTGGCCAGTGGGTTTCTTGCTGGGATAGGAACAGTCCTTCTGTGGCTGCTGTGCAAGCACTGTAGGCAGCTGCCTGCAGACCCCTGTTCCCTGGCAGCTCTGGGGCTGTCACAGTGGTGATGGGGACAGTCTGGTGAATCTATACAGTATTACATGTTGATCTCATAAGTGTATTATTAAGAGTGGATTAGCAAGAGAGATGCCTGTGGGTGGCTTTTGGCCATGGCAGAATAACTGGTGATGAGTAATTGAGTAAGCAGGAAAAGCAGTCGCAGGAAACTATTTTCACCCAAAGCTAATGGAGTTAAATATAATTTGCTCTTTCTAAGTCATGGTGCTGGGTCTGTTCAGGACAGTGCTCACTGCCAGGAGCAGCCACTCACCGATGGAGTGACCCTTGCAGCCCACCCGGCACCCCAGCAGCTGAGGAAGGCAGCAGCCCCTGACAATGCAGGGAGGTGGGGCAGAGCAGAGGCTTGTCCCTGTGTCACCCTTCATAGCCTGGTCCTACTTAGAAGATGGTGACTATGGTTGTCTCTCCAAATATGTTCTGCACTGCTAATACCTTATCTCCTATAGCAAGCATCACATTCCTTCAATACTCCCACTACAGGCAGGGATGGAGGTGGTGGAACAGTTTCCTAGAAAACATTCAGCTTTTTTTCCCCATGGGTTTTTGCTCTGCTGTGCCAGAGGGTTTTATCCCAGGCCTGCAGACTTGTTGGCTTGGCTCGGCTCGGCTCGGCTCAGCTCAGCCAGTTCCCAAGCTCCCTGCCTGACTCACCAGCCCCAACCCTAAGCTTTTCCTCAGAGCTTTTCCTGCAGGGATAACCTTATGGCACAGCCACTGTTGCTTGCACAGCTGTGTCCCATTGCAGCTTCACAGCTTTCTCCTTCCATTCCTGATTACTGGGCAAGTTATAACAGCAACCCCTTACTAGCTGCTACTCTTCGGATGCCCTGCTGCTTATTTGCTATCTGCTTCAGGGTGACTTCATGTACAGTGGCACCCAGATAAGTGTCTCTGTGCATGTCCTGTGCTGGCAGGAAAGTCTTACTGATATGCCTGTGTGATGTATGTGGCCCAAAGCAGCTGCAAGCTTTGCAGCAGGGGTTCAGGAGGTGCACAGCAGCACAACTGCAACTCTATGGGAGATCTGCTATTGCCAGAGCTCTCTGGTGCTGGGATTTACAATACTGCTTTGGTGAGTTGCAAATCACTTTTTCTGTTCTGTTTCTTTTTCATGGGGTCTGGGGAGTCACTGGGGCCCAGCAGTTGGGAAATACAATAGGGGTTTTGTAAGCTGCCTAGAAAGGAAAAAACGGTGGCTGACAAGAGATATGCCCCAGTGCTTTAAACGTGTACCTCCACCAGCTCCCAGGGAGAGCTGACCCCTGCCTATGGTCTATGCTCTTACACACATTCCCCTCACTTTTGCACACACTTTCTCATGTTAGTTTTGTCTCTGCAGAAAGCTGTAATAGACAAGCAGATACTGTTTTATCACCCATTTGGTGAGTTGTGTCCATAAGGTGTCCTGAGGGCTGTACAAAATGTCCTGGGAATAGAGTGACTCACAGGGGAAAAGAAAGTATCAAAAATTGTGATGACAAGCCTGGAGGCCAGGGGAAGATGGCATTGCCACACAAGACCCCAGCTGAGAGTGCTGAGGGGCTGCCATGGGTCAGTCCTGGTCCATCACCTGCCCATGCAAAGGTCCCACGACCTTGCGTGCGGGTTGTAGGACACCTCTGGATGCAGAGTGCTGTGTGTCCAGCACCTGCATTGCTGCAGCAGAACGACTTTGGCCTGATGCCTCCACCAGGTTTAGCTGCAGCCACTGGAGGTCACTGCTGACCTGCAGCTCCACACGCAAAGCCTCTTGGAGAGGCAGGTAGGAGCCCTGCTCCCAGCAGCTGGCCTTGGGCTGCGCTGCCCCTAACCCCCTGCAAAATCCCTGGGAGCTGGGTGCTTGTTGTCATGTGGGACATCTTACTCCCACTAGGAGTAAGATCTGGCACCCCAACTCTCCCCAGTTACTTTGTGTCCCTTGTTCCTGGATGCAAGGACCCTTTGGGGACTCATCATTTCCAGTTGAGCAGCTCAGTGTCGGAACTCCTGGGAAGGATACTGGCTCCCAAGCAAACAGCACTGCCAAATGCAAAGCCTGTAGCCCATGCAAAGGTAGAATTTGAGCAGCTAATTCTTCTCTCATTGCTCTTGTCAAATAACCTGTAATTAAGTTAGGGAAGAGAGCAATGGAAAAGGTCATAAATGTCAGGTGGGTTCCTTCTGGCTTTAGCTGAAAAGCAAATGCTGAGGCTGAGAGGTTTTGGGCTGAAATAGTCCCCCCAGACACCTGGTAGAGCAGCGTGGTTTTGGATGGGGATTAAGGCTTGTGCAGGTTCATAGGTGGTCACAGGATTGGGGTGTTGCATGCCAGCAGAGGTTATAGCAACTCATCTGAGTGTAAAATGTAGTCTGAGTCAGCCCAAATCCTGATGTGAGACAAGAGAAAGGGGAAATAATGGGATGCTCCTGGTGAAAGGGTAAAGATGGGGGGCAAGTGGGGCTTGGAGCCGCTATCAGCAGCTTGGCAAAGCTGAGCAATGCAAGAAGGTAGATGTGGCTTCCTCCTCACATGGGTATACAAGGGATCTTCCTGCTCCGACCAGAGGGCAAATACCAGGACAATTACTCTCCATGTCCTTGAGGCCTGCTTTGAGCGAGACTGCTCTGTAATTAGCAGAGCCTTGATGCAGTGGAAGCCCTGATTTTAAGCAAAGTCTTAGATGGTCTCCAGTACCTTTGCAGAAGTTGGCACAGATGATAAAGGCAGCATCTTTGACCCCATGGGAAGCCTCTTGCAGAGCATCTCTAACTGTGCTCTGGGGGTTTCTAGGAGCAGAGGTAGCCCTTGTGTCACTGTCTTGCAGCCCTGATGGGGCATTTAGCTACGCAGCCCTGGGGCACCCTAAATACGGACCTAAAAAGCGGATCTCTGGGAAGTTTGGCCATGCTGTCCTTGCTGAAGTGCCCATGCTACGGGAGCTGCTCTCTGTCTCTCCTTTCCAATTGTGTGTCCAGAAAAGCTAAGAGTCAAACAGAGGAAATATAAAAATACATGCCATTTATTTCTGTACATAACCAAAGCACTTGTAATTAGTGTCTTCAGGTGGAAAACCAGACAAATTTGCTGCCCCCTGCCCCCCGCAGCCAGGAGATTAAGTGCTACATTGTCAGGCTCATGATAACAAAATAAAAAAAAAAGCTCAATGACTCTATTTTTTTTTCCTAAGAAGTACATTTTATAATTAAGAAAAGAGCTAAAAATATTTTAAAGGCACATTCTTATTGGGAAGGGATAAAAGAATACTGCTTTTTCCTTGTGAGCCTTGCTCCAGTGCTGTAGAGATGTTCAGTGGTTGTGACTGATGGCAATCCAACTTGAGAGAGGAATGCAAAACAGAAGAAAAATATTTACTTGAAGCTAATAGTAATTTTCACAAATAGTCACCAAAAGAGCCCAAATATCAGCAGAAAAGGGAAGCTGCTGTGTCTCTTTGTTGCAGGAACACTGGCTTCCTGAATGTAGGGTTAAGGCAATCTTATCTCCATCTGCTGCCTTGATTAAAAGAGAAGGGGAACTGCTGTTCAGGCGATAAGAAAGACCAAAGGCTTCTCTATTAATATGTAAACTTTGGATCAAAAAGGAAGACAAGAGGCTCCAGGCAGAAGCCACATCTCAATAGATGGGTTTTGAATTTGCATGCACCAGCAAAGGGCACATCTAGTATGTGCTGGCTCCTATAAACGGGAGGGAAGGGATGGGATAGAGGCATGATCCCACTAAACTTTTCCTGTTTAGGTTGAATAATGTCTACCCTTGAAGGATATTTACCTGAAGTAATGTCTCTGTAATGTTTGTCCAAGCTCTCTGTGATAGATTCTCAAATCCAGAAAGGATCATGTCACACAAGCTGTTCTTCCCCTGGCATCACCTTTGTTGCCCGATGTGGCATCAGCCACATCCCTGGTAACAGAGTGAAAATTCCCTCCAGGAATGAGAGGATGGCCCCAACCTGTGAGGGCAGCTAAATTGCCTTAATATGAGAATAAATGCAAACACCTTCAATTAATCCAGGAAGGACACAGACTAATTGGTGATAGGCTATGAAGCATATGTGTTGCTTATCTGCCTTTCTGCCTGAAGATTATTCTGGGGCTGCATTTAAAAAAACCCAAAAAACAACAAACAAAACATTAGAACCCTACAGCTTTTCCAGAAGTATTTTTTCCATGTTCCTGGGCAATTTGCAAAACTCTGCATTAAAAGAGGGTCATTCACTCCCCTTGTGGGGAACCTTCTCCCTATAGGCTGTAGACGTGCTCCCTCCTGCCCACTTTGATAAATGGGGAGAAGACATGGCATTTTTGGGTATGGGCTTGTAGAAGGGTTTCTTGGGATCTGAGAAACTCATTCATTTGCAAAAGAAGGCTGTTTTTCACAAGGACCAGTCTTGCTTCAAGCAAGACTTCCCTCATCAAGAGGAAGAGTTCAGGCAAGGGAAATCTTAGCCTTTGGGGTGGGGAGGCAGGCTTGGCTCCTCCTGCACCAAGCAAGGGGCTGCCTCTGGCTGTCCTGGAGCAGTTCCAGTTCCTCTTGTGGTGTCTTATGATGCTCTTTGAGCAGTATTTTTCTTATTAAAAAAATTGCTGTAGAGGAGTTGGGCAGAGTCCTTAACAGCTCTTTTTGGGTTCACAGAGAACTGGGGTGTGTGACAGGAGAGGGGGCAGTCATCCAGATCCAAAGTGCTCCAACCCTGCTATTCTTCTGCTGTCAGCAAGAGGTTGCAGACCTTGGAGTTGGCTTGGTGTATTTTTTTTCCCTGCCTGCCTTTTCGAGTGGTGCTGCTCTGGCTCCCAGCAGACTTGGAAACTGTGAAGATTTCTCTGTGGGGTGAGGAAACAGCAAGATGTCTTCACTCATCTCAAGCACATCACACTGTTTCTACAGTATCTAGCCATATCCAGAGACTACCTGTATGGGATCTGCTCCTCTCTCAGCTGCAGGCACATGAGCACTGGGCTGCTGGAAAACCTCAACATGGTGTCAAACTGGACTGAGGTCTCCACCTCTGTCTGGCTTCTCAGGGTGGCTTGGAGGAAAGGGCTATCTAGTTCTGCCTGGAAATCAATGGCGAGGCTTCCCCTGTGAGAGAGCAGCACATAGGCCTGGTCACTGAGCAATTGCATCAAACGACCCCATAAGCATCTTGGGTCTGGCCATGGAAAAGGAGTGTGAACCCAGTGCCCACCAGACCCCTACTTAACATGTCTACCGGAAAAGACTGGACCAAGCAGAAGAGCAAGGGGCTCTGGAAAGCCAGCCCAAGGTGGAGCATTCCTTGTGCTAGGCCCCCTGGGTACCCTGCATCCCTAGAGCCAAGCAGTTTCCCACCCACTGACCTTGCATTGATGCTGGTTTTCAGTTCCTGCTCCCAAATGCTCACATCCATGTCAGCTGCAATGTCAAGCCCCAGCCCGCCCTGGAGTTTGATGGCCACTTGGAAGCCAGACTGCAGAGGAATGACCTGGAAGATGGAGAAGACAGACCTTGCTGTGACCAGGCACTGCTCTTGGCTGAGCAGCTGATAATGGCAACATCTTGTGGCTGCTGGGACTGCTAATCCCAACCCCACAGCTGGGCTTGCAAGGAAGGAACTGAAGCCATGTATGTTCCATGGCAGAAACAGCCATCCTGCTGTTTTACCAGTCCCAAGAGACATCTGGTTGCGCCACCTTGCTCTTAGACCTGGTCTGCAGTAACATAAAACTAAAATCCACTGGCTTGTGCTATGGGATTTGTTAAGTTTGGTGTGAAGGCAGGTTACACCCCCCTGTCCCCATCCAGTACCTGGTGATGGTCCATCAGCAGGAGGTTCCCTTTGACCACGCTTGTGGGTTCTCCGCTGCTTAACAGGACCTTGGCCATTAAGTCTGTATATCCCTGGAAGAAGATGATTGGACGCAACTGAACATCAAAGAAGATGGCAGACATCCCGGCCATCAGCTCTGGCTCCTCTTCCCCTTCCAAGACATTTTCTCCCAGCATTGACTCCATCCCTTGTGCTTCAATAGTGACCTAAAACACAGAAGCAGAGATGTGAAAGCTGTATGGAGCAAAGACGAAGAGTCTATTTTTTGCCCTACAATTCTATTTGAGTTGCTATACTTGTCCAGCCCTAGTGCAGGCACCCCTTGAAGCAGGAGGACAGTGATGAAGTGGGTTGGATGGGGCACCCAAACTATCCCTGAGCACTGTGCAGCAGTGGTGTCATACCTGCTGTGTTTTGAGGGAGTGGAGGTCTTCCTTCTCCAGAGCAGATCTGTCCAGTTTCATACCAATGATAGGGGGTACAAATTCATGTATTTCTGATACAGGGCACACTGAGTGCAGAGGTGAGGTCAAGCACCATAAGGAGGTTATGAGGGGACGCAAATGGAGCAGTGGCACCACTGGATTGGTGCTGTCACACACACCACCCCCCTGTATGTGGCCCCCAGCCACCCTCTGTGAAGCGCACCTGAGCTGCATGAAGCTGCTGTTCATGGCTGAGTAGTGAGAAGTCAGAGACACTCTTCCTCAGAAATCCACCCTCCAAAAACAGCAGGTCCAGCCCAAAGGTGGAAACCAGGTCCCGGGTGACTGAAAGGCAGATAGATGTCCATAAGCACCCCTGGACAGTGCCTGGCTCATGTCTCTCTGTGAATGAGTCACTGAATGGTGGTGAACCATAAATGCTCTGAGAGCAGCAGCAGGGGATGAAGGTGACAAGAAAATACAGAGCCTGTTGATGGGATGTGGAAGGCTGGGATCCTGGTAAGCACAGCCCTTGTGCCCAGTGCCAGCAAGTCAGTGCTCAGCAGGATGGGGCAGTGTCTTAGAAGAGCTTGCCAAGATTGATTGCAGGAATGGGGAGGTCACTGGGTACATCTAAAAGCAGGAACCCCAGAGCTCCTTGGTAATTTGTAAGCCTTCTCAATAGATTGTATGGGCTGGTCAGGGTGACTGACCTGCACAGATCTCTTATGTTAGCCATTAAATAGCTGATAAAGCTAGATGATCCAGAGGGGAAAGCTTCTCGGTACCATCTCCTTCCATTCTTGCCGTTATCAAAGGATTTAACATGGCAATATTTTCTTCCAGTTCTTGGCTGTTTTTCTTCCACCTACCCCCTACAAGGCTAGGCTGAGCTAATTTTAAGAGGGGAAGAAATGAGAGCTGAGGGGTGAAGATTTAAGCGGATATTTAGCAAGCATTGATTGTTGCAGTCTCTCTGAAGTTTGGCGATTTTTATCTCAGCACAAGGATTCTCCTCTTTGAAGAGCTTATTAAAAATATCTACTGAGCTGAGAAATGGAGCTGAATATCTTGACTTATCAGGAAAAGCACAAAAACTCCCACCTACAATCTGCCATTGGTTTCACCTCCAGCTGAAGTACCTCTCAAATTAGCAGGATTTGGGAAAAGTATGTGGCCCAGCCAAGCCCTCCTTCTGTAGGGGTGTCAGTGGGAAGTGTACATATATCTCAGGCGACGACAACCAGCCAGCCTCAGCTACTGCTGGGGGACATGCTTGGAAACCTCACACTGAGATTTTGGGGCACTTCTAAAAAGCTGAGGTCTCTTCTGAAAGCTGTCTTTCACTACCAAGCCCTACTTCAGCCATTTGAGGGGACAATGGGATCAATGTCCTCTGTGGTGTCACCTGTCAGAGGTCCTGAGAAAGAAGAGGAGATGCCGGCTTTTGAGAATAAGTTGTAATTATTTATCCGTGGGTCTCCCATGATGTCTTTCATTATCTTCCTGGAAGCAAGAGGGAAAGGGTATGTCAGCACTGGGAGGGAAGGAAGGGAAAATGTCAGTGCTTGTTACAGAAGGCTGTACAAATAAAGAAATATAAATTTCTGAAGTGTTTCTTTTGATTGCTGACTGTCCAAGGAAGTGTGAGCAAAAAATAGAAAAGAGCAGACATGGGCTCCCCTGAAACTTCTGTCTCCTCCAGCTTATTAGGATAAACCAGTCAGATATTTTTGTACAGCTTTTGCTTACCTCTGAAAAACGTTGGTGCTCAGTTTGTTTTGTGCAGACAGGAAGATTAATGCAGTTACAAATTGTGCACTGCCCTGCGAGACAGTTTTGGCCTCCAAGGACTCTGCTGAAACCACTAGCCTGGGTCCCACTGCCATGGGGCAGGACACTGTGTTTCAGCTGGCTGTGTGGAGCCTGCGTTAGCAGCTCTCCTCTTTTCTTCCTATAGCAGCTGGGAATTTCCAGGCAGCACCAATGCCAGCTTTAAGAAGTGATGCTAGCACACTTTAAAGGCTTGCTGGCTCAAATGCCACAGCTGGAGTGTGGAGGAGGAGAAAAATACAGTGATGTAGAGCTAGGGGAAAAAATGCAGCCTTCCCCTCTCGACCCACCTTGCTGGGTGGTGGTGAGCATACAGGCTATTCTGGACCTTCAGCAGCAGAAATGTTGCCATCTCTGTCTCCAACTCATTAGCAGCCAGCAGGATGTTGATGACATCCATGGGCAAGGGCTCCTTATCTAGGAGGATTTCTGCAGCTGCCAGGCGGCATGTTTTTTCACAGCTTTTCCTCTTCTTGTGGAAAATCCTCCTCATTGCTTGTTTCACCTGATGAGAGAAGGCAATTAAAATGGTGGTGGTAGGGTGGTAATGTGCAAGTGCCAAGTGGTAATGTGCTCCATTTTGCATCCCTGATAGCTTGGCTTTGAATGGGAAGAGGGACACCAAGCCTTGGCAGCTTTGTTTTGTACCTTGCTGGAGATGTGCTGAGCGGGGAATCGCCGCAGGGCAGAGATAGCCGCAGTGGCAGCCATGGTGGGGCCCTCCTCAGCATGGTCCAGGAGGGTGGGGATGGTTTCAGGGAGCGCTGCATTCCCCAGGGCCAGCAGGTAAATGACCACCTCGGACTCCTCCTCAGCATCTCTGAGGCTCCTGAGGATGGTTTCCACCCCACGCTCCACCTCCTGCTCGGGGTTTCCAGGAGGGCAGAAAAGGAGAGTGAGGTGAGGGACAGGAGATGTTATGGGCACCACCAGAGGAGGGGAGGAACATCTGAGAAAGCCAAGCATGGGATGACCCACCTGCAGCCCACATAGCTTCTGCTGGCACAGCCTGCCAATCAGAGAGCCCATGGCAAGTATCCCTGTCTCCTGGACCTCAGGGGCCAGCTGCTTCCCATCCAGCTTGTCCTGGGTATCCAGAAACAGGTAACATGAAGCAGGAAAGAAAAAGAATGGGTAAAAAGAGAGAGAAAGAACATGTTTTACCTCTTATCTCAAAGCACTTACCAAAAAAGTTAAAGCTAGTTCTTACCTGCCTTTAAGGAGGCAGTGTATGGTTTAATTGGATAAAATACTGATTTTTTCATAGTGGCTTTTAATTAAGCTTTTATTGTCTGTAATGCACTGATATAAAGCACTTTCTGCTGAATGTTTGTCTTCCAAGGAGCATCTACTTCCATTGCCAATGTCCCATTAAAAGTACATAAAATAATCCCATAAGCAGGAAGACATATTTCTGAAGAAAATATTTTGCCTTTTCAGGAAAACATGCTTGTTGTTCCCTCCTGCCTGGAAGCGGGTGAGGATCCACTCTGGACTCGGGACCCTCAGGCAGGGAGAGAAGTGTCCATACTTACTAACACCAGGCGGAGAAGCTGTCCTGAAGGCTGGGGAGAGAAAGCTGCCGCATAGAGAAACTTTTCCAGTAGGGAATTTGGCTTCTTGTTGAAATCCAGAAAGTCTGAGAGAGCTGCCAAGGATGCCACTGACTGAGCGGCCACTGCTGCCTCCATGATGAAGGGGCTGGAGCAAGAAGAGGGAAATCATCAGTGGCTCGACCCACCAAAAGAGCTGGAATGAAAACAAGGCGCCCTGTGCAGCTCCTCATTGCCCTTTCTCTTCTCCATGCTTTCCTCTTGCTTTAACCCTCAGAAGCTTCAGTTTCTAAGTTAAAAAAGACTAGAAGGTTGGCTCTGGCTCTGAACTCGCATATGTTGATGTATTCTACTGCAGAGAGGAGCCTGGCCTCAGTGCCTACACTGACAAGGGATGGATGCCTGTGGCCATGGGTGGGTGGCATGTAAATAACAGACCTCCAATTATATCTGCAGAAAGCCTTGCTGGAGTACTCACTCTGCTCCAAAGCCAGCAAAAAAATAAAGCCATGTAGTGTTTGTACAGAACAGACATTAAGAAAAACCAGAGTACATTCACACTACTTGGGATGGCTGCCTAGACCAGGTGTGGTGTATGGACCAGCACCAAATGACCCTAATTGCCAGGGCCAGGAATGGCCTATGTGCCTGGGTCTGCATGCACAGAAGTCAATTTTGGCAAGATAGCTCCCCGGATTCTCACAGCATCTCCTCAGGTGCTCTCCTCAGCAGCTGCAGAACATCTCTCTTCTTGGCACTGCGCAGCATCTGGATGAACCTCTGGAATTGCCAGGTTGTCGACGCCTTCGAGGTGTCCATTTTGAGTCTCTGGCTGTCAAAAGCTTTCAGGTAGGCTCTCAGCTGCAAAGATGAAGTTTGCTAGGTGGGATTTAGCTTCTTTTAGCCTCATTATCATGGGATAACGTTTATGCTCAGGAAATATTTAGGAGTGGGAGGGGCCCATGTAGGTCATGCAGTTGTCTGCAGGCCTCTACTGCAGCCTTCCACCCTCACCGCTGAGAACTTGTGCTGAAGCCCAAATTCCCCAGTTTGTGGTATGTATCAGGAAAAGAGCAGGAGAAACTGGGAGCAGCCCTGGTGCCTTAAAGTTGTTGCAATTCCAGATTTCCCAGGTGAAAAGCCTGGAGGACTTGAGGACACAAAAAAATGCCCATTGTTTGTCCTTCCAGCCTAACCTGCAGTGGAAATGTTTCCTGACCTCAACTCTGTGATGCATTTAACCCAGCTGTATGTGCCAGCTGTGCATCAGCTTACTTCCCCCATCACAGAAATGCAGCTGTGTCGGGGAGTCCTTCCACCATGGGTAGTGGTACATTAGACACCATTCAGGACAGGTAACAGGTCAGGCTGCTGCTCTACAGCACTCCTGGGGCCACATCCTGCCTTGACCGCAGTAACCAGCCCCTCCAAATCCACCACTGTGGCTTTACCCCAAATCCTACAGCTTTCTGTCTGCCTGCCCAAGTGCCCAGCTTGGGATAGAGCATGTGGTGAGTTTGGGGGTTGGGTAAAATCACTGACCGAAGGGCATTGGATGCAGACCCTCCTGAAGGGCAGGCTGGCCATGCCCAGAGGCTGGTGCTGCCCCTTCAGGCCAGCCAGTGCATCCTCAAGGCTTTGTGCAGCCACCTCTGCCGGGCCAGGTATTGGAGGAGATGCCAGCTGGAGCTGCTGCCTGTGGAGGGAGAAGAAGCCATTTGGAAGTGCTTCATCATTTACAGCCTCTGTGGCTCAGAGGCTGGTTGGGTTCATGCAGGTTTGGAGAAGGAGGAGGTGTGGGGGCAAGCTGTCAAAAGGCTCCTGGTGACCCCTCTGTGCCATGCCCAGCTGCTGTACTATGTCCTCCTTGCTACCTGCACCAGGCTGTGCAACCCAAGCTGTCAGGAGAGCACTGAACACATCCAACAGATGCACCTTCATCCCATGCCAGGCTGCCTAATTTGGGCAGTGGCACAGGGACATCACTCACCTTGAACTGATTTTGATGCCAGTGGTGGACTTCAGGGCTGGAGACACCACGTGGGTTTCCTCTGCCAGCACTGACTGGAGGAGGTTGTTTTTTACCATGTACTGACTTCTGCTGGTGGGCTGCCACTTGAGTCCAAAAATCTTGGAAGAGAAAAGGCAAGGATTAAAAATGCAACCTTTTCTCTCCTCCCCTCTCTCCAGGAGACTTCTTTCCTCTCTATTAGCAGCAAAAGAGTTTTCCAGTCCACAAAGTCACCTGATTTGCTTGCAAAGTGTAGGAAAGGAAAATCTGGAAGATCCTAACCTCTTCCTAGATGTGGGAGAAGGCAGCACCAGGTGAGTACCACAGTGAGGGGATACTTTTGTCCATGGCTGATGGGGGTGACAGACTGGTGACACCACGCGGACTTACTTTTTCATTACAAGGTGGTGTCCCCATGGTTCAGCCACAGAAGGGCAGCAGAAAGAGCAGGGGATGCTCCTGCCTGGCTTGGGTGATGCATGGAGACTGTAAACAGGAAATAAATGCCTCCCAAAGCACTGCCCTTACTTCAGGACTATTCACCAGTGCTAGCTCCACAGCTGCCCCAACACAGCTGGGTGTGGGAAGAGGAATGATCCTCAATGCCAAAACCCGCCTCATCCTGATGAGCACCAGCAAGGACATCCTCCAAGTGAAATAGAAAGCTAAGCAACAGCAATTTCCATAGAGCTCATGACAAAAAATATTCGGCTTCCTAGCTGTGCTATGTGGTGACACTGGGGAAGCTCTCTGGATTTTTTCTTTCCGAAAGAAATTATGCACTCGCTGGACTTCACCTCTGCTTCATCAACCAGCTGTGGTGAGGGGAGCATGGGTCATGCTGGGAGATATTATCAGAGCAGCTGGGCTTGCACATGGCAGGTGTTGGGGAAGGGAAGAGCTGAACCATGTGCAAGAGTGGGTTTTGACAGCAAATGGCATTAGCAGTAACAACATCACTATTTTAATAGAGGTTTTTTAACCATAGGCTTTGCCTTTTACAGAACTGGGCAGCATCGTTATTTTGCTGTCACAGCTACAGACACAGGCAAGGTCCAGAGAGCTGCCTCAATCCAGAGAGCAGGCTTGTGGGAAAATGCTATTGCCAAAAATGTGCTATGTAGAGTTTGTTATTTGCTTGAGTAAATTTGCCATGATTCATACCCCAGAAAGCTCTTATTATAGGAACACTCAGATTTTGACTGCAGGTGTTGAGACCCCTGCCAAAACCCATGGGCTCTCTGTACAGTGATGTCCATTTTTATATAGAATTCAGTAGAATTTATATATTTTAAAAGACCCATTGATTTTTATCACAGCAGGTATAATGGCATTAAGACCCACAGAGTTCATCTATTTATATCAGGGCTGAACAAGGGCTACTGCTTTAAACGAAACAAGCAGTGGTCTTTGGCCCTGTCCCCTGTCAACCTAATCCAATGAGTTTGAAGTCCAGAAAACATTTTTGTATCTCCACCTTCCCAAGCAGGATTAGCTGACAGGTGAGAAGTGATAACAAGGATGGGATGATGCAGTATGTGTTTTCTGATCCTAACCACCTTGAAACTATATGCTTTTCTTGAGGTGTGTTGGTACGTCCTGCTCTGGGTATGGGTCTAAGAGCTAGAGTCCCATCTCAGACTGGTGCAAAAGGCTGAAGCCAGCTGGAAGTGGGACTCAAATCCCACTTGCAGGAAGATTTTGGGGCCAGCCCTAGTGTATTTGGTATAAGTTGAGCCCACCACCGCAAGAGCATTGGACTTGCTTTGTTTATGGAGGTGAATCCAGCGTTCGGCTTTATACAGCTGAGGAGATCTTTTGTTTTAGTGATGGAATGGTTGGACACGGTGTATGTGACTTGGCAGCTCCCAGAGGCATCCTCCTGAAACACAAATGTAAGTGAGCATTGGTAAGTGTGATTGGCTTTGATTGACTCTGAATAAAATGATCTATGCAGAGGACAGATTAATTAATAGAAAAATAATCAAAAAGCTAGAAAATGGGCCATATTCAAGAGTGGTGGATAGCTCCAAGTCCATCGGGGTGGGAAATTTGCTTTTGAAAACTCAGGCTAACACCACCACAACATTTTTGTGCCTATGTTTTGGGTTTTGAGTTATTCCATGTTGTTCACAGGTCACTCCAGCATCAGTTGAGCTCTGGGGGAAGGGATTTCCTTGCTGTTTGCTGGCTAGGCTAGGCAAAACAAATTCTGCTTGGCAGAAATTCTTACAGAGTTTTTTTTCTCCACTATTCCTATGGTCCAGGGAAAGATCATGGTTTTATAAGTGTGTCCATTCCTGAATATCATCTACTTACTTTGCTGGAGCAGCAAAGCCCATGATGTTTATGCTGAATTTTGCCTCCTCTGCTGAAGCACCTGGGATGGCTGTGCCTTGGGGCTGGTGCTCCTGCTGTGGCATGGTCCCTGGCTTTCGGGCAGGATCTGGCCCCAGCTCTGCACCTACCTCCACTGCAGTGCCAGCATGGGGCTGGAGCTGGAGCAGACTGACAATGCCTCTCTTCAGGTTCGAGATCAGGATGCTTTCTGCTTCATTCCCATAGAAGGCTTTGACCTGGAAGGGCAAGATGTGGTGTCTGGCTGCTGGGACAGCTCTGAGGCCTCTGCAGACTCTCTGCTGCCTTCCCTACTGAAAGGCATCTCCCCTGCAGCCTAAGCAACATCCTCTAGATACCTGAAGATTTTTCTCAAGGTGGACTGTATCCCTCAATAGCATGATCTTTGTGGGTGTATGCCCACAAAATCCCCTTTCCCTGTTTTTCCAAAGCTTTAGAGGAGAAGGTCAGAAAGGAGTTATATTCCATGGTTAGGACTGAAGCCCTTTTAACATGGGAAACCGCATCTCCAGTTGAGCCTACAGCCCCTTTGGAGGACGGGACTCCACCTAGGGTCATACTGGACCCTGTGGGAGACTATATTCCTACATTTGCCACTCTGTTTCCTTGTGTTCTGATAGGAAATCAGGGGTGAAGCAGGTGTTCATATGGGCTCCATAGCTGGGAAAATCTGGGATGTGGGCAGAAGCGTTCTGCAGAGCACATGAGCAAGCCTGGGAGGTATCCAGCTGACCTTCCCGCTGGTCCAGGAGATGAACACTGGCTGCTGGAGCTCTGCCTGTGATTCCTGGCTCAGTGCAATCTCTGCAGGGGGTCCTCTAGTACCATCCTGGTTTCTTTCCTCTTCTGGCTCATGCTGGGCTTTCAGGTTGTGGACCTATGATGGCAGAAGATGGCAGAAAACAGTGACCAAGCATGTTTGCCCTAAAGTTGCTATGCATTTTACCTGCCAGTAAAATGACCTCTTGGTCAGAGAGGACATTTTTCAGGTGGCTTGGGCTAGAGAGGGAAGGGGCTAAAGAAAGACAGCATCACTGCTCCCAGGAGGAGTACCCATTTGCAATGGCTTTACCAACTCACACACCTGCAACTGGAGCAGCTCTTCCCTGTCTTGGTCCCTCCAGAGCCTGTGCAGCTGGACCAGTGCCTCAGCCCGCAGCCAGGCTCCCTGCAGGGACGGCGCGGATGTGTGGTCCAGCTGGACATCCAGGGCATAGCGGTACTGATACAGGGTCCTAGGCTGGAAAGAAAGCAGCTGCAAGTCCCCTGAGGAAAGATGCAAATGCCGAAAGCATGAGGTTGCAGACTCAGTCCTTCCACTTGCTGCAGCCAGCATCCTCCCTCCTAGAAAGGACCTGGACTTGCAGAGATGCTTGCAACCTGTATCAATTTGCCTCCTGGAAGTATCATTTTTACACCAAGCAGTAGGTATAACTGACATGTTTGAGGGAGAACATAGGAAGGTTTTAATGGGAAATTATTGGTGCCTGCAATTTGGATATTTGGGTGTTCTTAGGGTGGCAGCTGATTCCTGCTTGTTTTTCCAGCTCCGTCTTAAATATGCTGGCCAGAGTGTTGGCTCTGCTTCGGGATTTGAGGAATTTTTGAAAGAGCCAGGGAAATGCACTTTGATCCTGAAGCAAAGTTTCCTGAGCAGGAAACTTACCCATACAGGAGGGATATCTCAGAGTCTTTTCAGCATTGTACATTAACTGGGGCAAAGTTAGCATTTTTATTTAGGGCAGAAGAGAGGCTATATTCTTCATATTATATGTTTCCCAACAGAACTGCTAACTCTTAATTAAACCACTGACTTTGTGATAGGGCAAAATGAATTTGGTATGGCAGTTTTAGATCAGAACTCCTTGCCTTAATCTTATCTATCTAGAGTTATTTGGAGTCGTTTCTCTTGTTTGTATACAAATATGACTGTAGGGGGGAGGGTTGCCTTTGCCATGATATAACCAGTCTAATGTACCTTCTAAAGTCACTTGAAAATCTCCTGCAAATCTTATGCACTTGCTGGGCTTCTGAAATGTTTTAAAGTTTTGTTACTTTTGCTGTAATAACAAATGAAAGGAATCGGTGGAAATCCTGCTTGCTCCCCGAGGCTTTGCTCTGTGAGTCAGGCTGAGGAGTTTCTATATTTCTGCACTGTGTACAGTTTAAAAAGCTCCAACTCTACAGTTTTCCTCACCCCTGAGGGAGGACTTCCACAGTCCCAGAAAACCTCCCTGCCTTGAGAGATGTTCAGTCCATTTGCTGTTTTGGCAATAACTCTTCTCTCCCTGTCTGGAGACTAGGGAGATGTTGCATTATGGCGAGCCCCGGGAGGCTTTTTATGCACTGGGATAAGCATCCTGCCTCTCAGGGCATTTAAAGCCTGTTGTGTCCCTGGACCCGAAGCAGCAAAAAGTCTCTTACCTTTTGCTGTGCTCATGAAGGAAAAGCAAAGCAGGCAAACGTATCCCAAACCTACTTGCGGATTCATGGTGGGCTGTGGGATCTGAGCGGGAGACGGGGAAGGAAGGCGAGTGGGAGAGGGACTATACAACAAAAGTGAGCAAGATCTGCAGCGTCAGGCGATGGGGCCCACCTTCTCCCTATCCCCGCCTTATGCACCCAAGGAAAAGCAAATAATTAAACCTTTGCACCAACCCCCAGCAGCCACGGAGGGTTTGGAAATCAGCTAAGGGTTGCCAAAGACTGGCGAGTGGGGAGAAAAGCTGCAAAAAAGAGCTGCCAGAAGCACTGTGGGGTGGAGAAATTGCCAATTTGCCTTGATGTGGGAGTGGGATGTTCAGAAAGCTGCTCTGTTCCTTGGTGAACCATCTCCTCCTGCCAGAAGGGAAACGGGAAGAAACGGAAGGGGAAGGGGGGAAACTGTTTTTTCATCCTTTTAGTTAGACTGGGATTTGCAGCTTGGAGGCTCAAATTACTTAAAGGGCCAGTCTGGAGGGGGATGGGGAGATCCTGCTGATGGGTTGGACTATGAATACCGTTATCTATCCCTGTGATCTCCCCCAAAACAGCGTGGGAAAGGGTTTAGGAGGTGGGTGCTTTGCTGGTTGTGTTCCACATAGCCTGCTAACCCCTTGGCCCACTAACAGTGCTTTTTTAATGTGCAGGAACTTTGAGTGCCGAGTTTAGTTGGTTCCTAAAGACACTACAGGCTGCGAAGGGCCAAAGTCCATATGAGGTGGTGATGTGGCTTAGGGTTCTGTGAAGTTTGTTTGCCAAAAATTATGGGAGATAGCGGGGCACATTGCACCCTCCTTGTACATGGATCTGTGATGCCATTGCGAGGCTCTGCCTGCATCAGCTTCTCTTCCTGGGATGCACTGAGAGAGCAAAGCACACTGCGGATGATGGGTTTACGCAAAAAGCTTTAGCACTTTAGCTAGGGTGAGGAAAAATGAAATATTTCAAAGAACAAAGTGGCTGTTAAGGGTTTAAGTCCTGAAAATAAGGTTGCAAAGTGTTTGTAGCCTAAACACACTACCTGAAGAGGAAAGGCAAACAGAGATAGCTTGTGAAGAAGACTCTGCTGAAAAGGTGGCCTCAAACTGGAACTGAACTTCAGCAGGTTTGCTTATTTAGACTTGGGTGCTGAGTCCTGCCAGGACCGGCGTATGGGAAGGGGACAAGCTGCAACCTACTTTCTCATAGACAGCTCTGGACTGCCGGTTGCTATCTGCTGGGAAGATGAGAGGCAAAACCATGTGATAGTCCCTCAACAGCATTTTTCTGGAGGTCCCAAGGAAAAGAGTTTATCCACTGACTATGCTACCGGGAATGAGGTGCTGAGCTCCCCCTTGAAATCTGCATGGGAGGTGTCTCATGTCATTTCATGATCTCCTGTTATAATCTCATCCTCATGACAAGATAGCAATGGGCAGAGAAAGCAGTCATGCAGCTGAACAGTTACAAGGAATGAGTTTTATCTCTAGGTTCCTAAATCACGTCTCCAGACTAAACCAGCCATCCCAGATGCCTTCCAAAGGCAGCAGAGGGGTGTCTTTGGAGGATGCCATGTGCCGCTTATCTTGGACATTGCCTTACTGTGACATTAATCTCCCTCTGATGGTATTTATTTAACTCCATCAATTATGTAGGAAATTTAATACCTAGCTCAGACTTTGATGTGTAACTTTGAAATGAATTCTGCCTTCTGATGTGCAGCTTTGCCAGTCACTGTGACAATTTCTCTGCCTGCAGAGAAAACTCCCCCAAGTTTGTTAGTGAGGAAGGGAAGGCTGGGATGAACAGTGAGTTTCAGTGCCAGTTTTCACCTGGTTTCTCTTACTCCAGATCCAGTTCTTGCTTCTGTCTCTGGGAGAATATGTGAAACTGTAAAGCAGAAGAAATCAGATGTTTTAAACTTCTGCTGCTGGTCATGAAAATGAAGGGCAGATAGCTTTGCCTATTGCTCAGTGTTGCTGCATTTGTCCACTCCATAATGACCATAGGACACCATGGCTGTGGGTCTAGGCAAAGGCGCTGTTGCCCAGCATTACTGCATGGTTACCCATACCCTGTGCTTTCATCCATGTACTGCCCCAGTGATGAGATAAACGTCAGTGAGCTTTGAATCCATACTTGTGCAAGACTAATCAACATTCCTTGATGCATCTCCTTTCACATGCTGGTCCTTTCTCCCTGCATGGGGACCCTCCACCAGTCTCCCCAGCCCTTGCTTGGCTCCCTGAACCTGCTCTGCAGGTACCTGCTGGGCTGGTCAGTCCTCCTGTGCTAATCCCTGGAGGTCAGATCCCCTGCACTCCCTGGTCTCTGCCCCCACTACCTGTGGCTCAGGCTGGAGGTTGGCAGCTAGAGTCTCCAACAAACCCAGAATGATGTTATTTTCACTAAGAGGAGGGCAGAGGAAGCAGAAGTGAGTGTGCTTCCACTGCTGCATTAGAAGCTTTGATAGTGTCACAGCTGAACCTCTTTTCTGAACGTTCCCTTTTAATTTCCACTGACTTCAAATTCAACCAGTTCTTATAAGGCCTCCTATTTGCTAAGTGTTCTTCACATCTGGAGCTGTCATGCTCTTCGAAAGATGCCTTATGAAACTTTGCAAGCCTACGGTCAGATGCATGGTCTTAAAAACAGTGCTGCTGAAATCTTGGGTGCTTCTCCAGCCCCTTGAGTATTACCCAAGGGAAATGTGATCTCCTGTTTCAGTCCAGGTGCAACCTGTCAGTGCAAAGCCTCTTCTAATAAATTCATGTAGTATGGTCTTCTTCATTTCACTTTCTCATTTGGACACTGTGCTGCTAATTCTCTTGGAAATGACATGGTGACAAGCTCTATGGACAGAATTGGGATGCTGATCCACCCACACTGGTCCCCAGAACTCATGTCTCCCAGTGGCTGGCTGCCAAATCACTATGGGGGAGGCCAGTGGCAGGACCTGACGTGGCAGCTCTGAAACCATTGTCAGGGCAGAGCAGAGCAGGTACAGTCAGTCTAACCAGGTCACTGTGCCCCAGGATCAGAGGCACAGGCGGGGACCTTGTCACCAAGGTGTGATATCAGGATGGACTTTGGCAAAGGGTAGTCAGCCTGCCCAGAGGCTGATGAAAGCAGGATGGAGGCAACGAGGACTGCTACATCTTTCATCAAAGACCATTGACTGCAAGCCTCAACCTGTGGGTGTTTCCAGGGGACTTTCAGGTGTAGATTTTCATTAAAAATATCTAGTGGAAATAATGAGACCCAAACATTCCTTACTCAGGGAAATACCAGTAATGGTGGCCAGTCTCTAGGCTTGGAGACTCTCTGGGGTCTGACCTGGGGAGGCCACTCTACCATCTGAGGGTTTTCCCAGCACAGCTGTTGTCTAGCTGAGGAGTTTCCAGCTCTTGATCACTCTGGGGCAGATGGGAAGCTGGAAGGAAACACTGCCTGAGGGCTCTGTTCCTCTCCCATTTTTTGCATGTGATCTTTAGTTGCACACCCACTCCAGCCTCTTATTATTCAGGACTTTTTAGGAAAGACCTGGAAGCAAGGAGAAAAAAACCCACTGATAAAATATGCAGATAGCCCAGAAGGGGAAGCGGGAGATAACAAAGAGTACATAACAGGCCTCAGGGATAAATCTTTACAGGGTGACACAGTGGAAAAGAGCAAAGGCAAAGAGCAAAGAATGCAGGCTGCTTTAGAGTCATTCTCCTGCGGGACACCACAGCTGCTGCTAGTCAGGACATCCCACAGCAGGTCCCCTTAGTAAGAATGATTCACCATGGAGCGAACTGTAGAGGGAGCTATGGGATGCTCCATCCCTTTGTAACCAAGAAGCCAGAAGGAGGGTTTTGCTGGAAGATACTCAGCAATGCAAGAACAACCAGATGAAACTCTTCAGCTCTGCTAAACGCAGCAGATGATGTGTTGTAATAACCTATAATGGCTATACATCCCATTTGGTGCATTCGTCTTTTCTACCAGGGACCAGAAGCTTGTGAAATAGATCCTGGTGTCTGTCCGTCTGTCGCAGCCACCTCAGCTCCAGCTCTTTGCCAACCACTTCAATCTCTTTTCCTCACCACAAACTCTTGCTGCTGGAAGGGGAGGACAGCTTGTCCTCCACCAAGTGTCATGTCATGCTTTGCTCCTCGTTTTCAGAGGTCTCACCTTCCAACTTCTGCTCAAGTCCCTTCGCTCTTACCCCATTCCAGCTTTCCCATGCTCTGTGGCCCTCCTTGTCTTTTGTCTGCAGCCGCTGATAAATCCTGGTCCACTCTCTGGAGTGTCAGCTCAACTGTGTGCTGAGGCAGGACCAGGCTCATGATTCAAGGTGGAAATGGCTGCATCAAACCAGTTCTTGGTTTGGCTCCAGCCCCTCCATTTTTGGTGCTGGAGGCATCAGCTTTGAGTGGCAAAGGCAGGTTTCCAATGCCAAAGGGAAGGGGTTCTCAGGGCTTCAGAGACTGCAAGTTTGTATGTGATAAAGGGGTGCATATTGCTGTCTCAAAAGAGTCATGCAGATGTGCCTGATGGGTGTTTCCTTAGTGTTTTCTAATTGTTGTGCTTACAAATCTGTGCAGAC